ATAGAGAGGGGTGCTGAAAGAGTCTACCTTGTCCTGGTCGATGATACCCTTTTTAAACCAAAAAATAATTGAAATGAAATGTTAGCTAATATAAATTTTGGTAAACAATCAAGATCAAAACATATATGTACCTGTTGAGCAAGATCATTAAGAGACTCGCCGATGAAATCCATCACTATTCCTTTAGAGGTCTCAGACATCTTGTCCCCATCTCTTAGACAAGATCCAAAAAGCAACATCAGTCCCCCAGACACAATCTCTTCAGCTCTAGCATCTAATAGATCCTTGGTGTCCGCCGAGTATTGATCAAGATAAGCTTGCTTGACCGCTTCATTGAATCCAGTGCAGTGCATGTCTCTGTTCCATGAGGGAGAGTCACGGTCCGTGATCCCCTTGGGGATTTTGGAGGTGAAATGAAATGCATAGTTGATAACTCCTATGTGGAAACTCTTTTTAGGAAGAACACGCTCGAAGAACGAACCTGGAACCCCGGCACTATAATATCGTCTGGCTGCAGGGAGTGCTTGGAAGAGGGTATTGAAATCGTTGTTGGTAAAGTCGTTGAAGAGGACTTGGAACTCGATGTTGTCCACTGGGTTTTGTCCGGTTTCTTTTTTGTATTTTTCTTCTACAGCATCTATAATGTTCTGGACTGCCACAAAAGTGTTGGGTCCACTCGCACAACCGAAATCCGCTACATAGAAGCGATCGGAAATCAATTCCAGACTTAGTTTGGCTGAAATAATCTCGCTCATCTTTTCCTTTGCTGCCTCCAACAATGCTCTCTGTACAGCAAGATCAAAGAGAAGATTAAATGTTAATACATACATCACACACACATGCATAAATACATGCATACATATCGTTCATAATGTTTCAGTTACATATATAAACCTGATATGAGGAATTCTGGTTGTAACTCTCAGGACCTTCTCCTCCAATCATGACCCATTCTGGAGTAGTTGACATGATAGATCTCTCTTTCTCTTCTCTCACTCCTGCTTTTTCTTGTCTAATAGTGATTTGTAAAGAGAACTGTGATTTTCTATGGATCTATGTATGCACATTTATACTAATATCACTGTAATTATTTAAATATGCAAAAGCATCATATGGATCACAATATGTGCAAAGGCATCGTAAGGATATATATTTTTATAAGGGCATCTTATATATTAAAACAGAAGTCATGACTTGATTTCATGTGTGATTTTTTTAAAAATGGACTATTACTAGAAAGTCATGTTACATCTAATAATCTTATCATTATTATATCTTATAATATGCTTAACAATTTTATTTTGGTAAATTACCCCACACCTTCCAACTTAGTCACGCAAAATATGTCAATAGATATAAATTTAAGAATCTTCTATTATTTATAAGGAAATATGTCAATAATAGTTAAATGCATCCAGAATATATTAACAAAAATCACAGATTATTAATATGTAATATTTATATACCTTAACAAAATTTACACGTTATATATATTAGATAAATTTATTTCGATGAAAATTTTTAAAATTGTATTGTTTAAAAAAAAGAAATTGTTTAAAAATTCCTTTTTAATAAACTTTTTATAATATTAATTTATGAAGCTATAAGTTTAGTTTTTAGCAAAAATTTCTTCGAAGTTTATATTATATTTACAAATTAAATTACACTAATATTTAATCAAGCTCTATTTATATTATTTTATCTAAAAATGAAATACTAATCTAACAAACAATAAAATATAGAAGAAGAAACAAACACATGTTTGAAAGTCATGTATAATATAGAAAATTTGAAATAATCTATTTGATTAAAACATTTATTATATAATATTATTATGTTTGAAAAACATTTACTATACATATCGTAAATATGTGATTACTATAATATATACCAATTTACAAGTGAAAACAAAATGTTTATATAACTATAAACAAAAACAAACATCCGCGCGGTTGCGCGGGTCAAAATCTAGTTATTAATTAAAAACTATTCTGCGCTGTACCAGATTATTTTGACCCGAACTTTAATCTTGACACTATATAACATACTAAAACGTACTATGTGAGTTTTTAAAACATAACAAACGTGCCAAAAATTTATAATAATAACAATATGCTTTATTTTCTTTATTTTGATGCAATGACAGGAAATGTTTTGAATATATAGAGATATGCTCCCTATCGTATGCTTAGTTTAGCGCAACAATAAAAGTAAACTTTGGACGTCTGAATATTATTTCAGCAGAACAAACCTAATATAAAAATGAAGTGTGAGAAATTGATAGAAAAAAATAAACAGGAACAAATTGAAAATGATGAGGGATAGTGATTTCTTATCAAAATAAACAAAAAACAAATTTACTCTAAAATTCTCTACAAAAAAACGGAACGAGAAAAAAATGAAAAAGAAAAACTATTCCTTATGAATGGTAAATTTTTACAGGAATATTAAATAACTAGTATTATCTCCCGTGCTTCGCACCGGTCAAATAATCTTTTTATCAACAAATAATTTACCATCTTAAAATTATTCGATTATGTTATAATTTTAATTCTGAAGAAATAAAATATTTATGAACAGTATCTGCATTCAAACAAAACAATTGAAAGAGGTAAATAATAATTTTTTTATTATGATAAATATGGGTACATTTGTTGCAATACTTTTAAAAATAATTAAAATACCAAAATATAAAAATATAGTTAACAGACCATATTAATTTCATTACTATTAATCATCGATGATGTTGTGCAGAATATAAATGCATAATTTAACATATATAAATTTGGAATGTGATCTGGTGTGTCTTACAAATTCATAATTCTAAGCCCTTTTATGAATTTATAGTTTAAATTACGATTTTATCTACATTTCATGTTAATTATCTACCATGCATTTTTATTGAAAAGCACACACTTAAAACAAATTATACCACATTACTTATTTTGATAGTTTTTTGAAATTTTAAGATTTAAATTCAAAAATTTAATTTTCTTTTTTACATAAAAAGAACTGTTTTCTTTAATTACTAATCACAGTTTTTTTAGGCGAATATTAGGTTTATTCAAAAATCTATTTTTAATGTTTTTACATAGTTTTAAAAACTTCCCAGTTAAAACTTGATAAATTTCATATTAATTATAAAAATGATTTAAATTTAAATTTTTTTCTGAGTTGGCACGACTTTGAGTAACTTTTACAACTTAATAAATAATTTACAGCATCAAAAATTTGACTCTGTGTATGTTTTTTTAAAAGATAAAAGTAAACAAAATTATTTTGTTACCTGGAACAAATGGTCAAAAAGTTTTGCATTTTACCCATCTTCAAACTTCCCAACTTTACTCAGGAACAGTTCTGATCCACCATATTATTTGATTTCTCATATGGTCTTCTTCGATCAGCTTTGACTTCTTAAACATGCCTGCAGTGAACTAAAATAATTTCAAAACCAAACAATACAAAATATTTATGCTATTCTTTTACTTCGATTTTGCAGAATGAGTTTCCTATGAATTTATTGGATACCTGCAAATTCATATGAATCTATCCAAAATCATTAAGCTCTTCTCTACGCACTTTCAAACTGAACCGCCACAGCCAATTGATGCTTCAAAAGAGGTTCTAAAACAATTTTATTCTGCCATAGCGAACAAAATAGAAATGATCTAAATCAAAACTAAAAAAAGTTCTAACTGGTCCAGAAAAAAAAGAAAGAAGAATGAAGAAACCTGTCAAAATCAAAACTGAAAATGTAGAAGAAATGAAATGATAAATTGTACTTTAAAGATTCGTTTAAATTATGTTATAAACATGTTATATGATAAAGTGGGAGATCTGGGATTCAAAACAAATTGAAAATGGTAGAAATCGTGGGCGTAAATGAAGATAGGTTTTACTGGGTAGTTTTAAAAAACTTTGTGGATTATTGATGATTTAATTTTGTTTTTCTAATTAATTTTAAAACTCAAGACATGTGTCATAATATGATTGGTCATGTGACTTTTGCTTTAGTATATGAAGGATGTAGTGTTCCTCATCATTCCTTAGTTACCACTGAAAGTCTAAATTTTTTTTAGAACACAATTTATTTAAGGAAAAATAAAAATTGTTAAATACAAATAAAAATTGAATTATATACTATCTTTAATGAAAAGCATAGACTACAATAACAAAGAAAAATGAGAAAGATGGGCAGGCCTGGCCCAGTACTTTGTACTGCCTAAAGCAAAAAAAAAATATTTGGCTCCCCTTACCAGTCGAACCTTGCACCTGTAAACCAACTTCGTATATCAGAACCACTAAACTACACACGACTTTTATCAATCATGATGCCCTTAAATTCTTAACTTAATTGGCGCCTAAAACACATGCTTTCTCAGCTTTAGGTCAGGGCCGGCCCTGAAGATGGGTCTTCATAAGAGGATTAAAGCAAATTTAAACAAAAATATGAAGGGTGATTTGCCAAATATGAATAAAATTTTGATTTTACGATTATAACGCTACGCATGAAAAGACTTTCAGAGAAGTCTTATAAAAAACCTTACCTTAAAGTCTTCTCACACAGTAGATCTTAAAAATAATTTATAAACTTAGTAAAAGAATATTTTGATTAGAAAAATTCATATAATCATGTACTTATAGACATTTGTAAATGATGTAAATTTTGATATACTAAAATTGAATATTTTTTAACATAGATGAGTGAATGTAAGTTGAGTCATGATATTCTTTGGTTGAAGATTGTGTAACTATGTTATAGTATTGTTTGTGTTTTTAGGGTTAGATTGTGAAATCTGATTTTTCTTTTAAATAAAAATTAAATTTCACATATATGTGTTTAGTTTTGTGTATATTAAACACTTTATAAGTTGATTTTAAATTTAATGAAGTTTTTATTTGTGATAGTTAAATATTTGATTTTGGGGTTTGGAAGACTTCTCAAAATCAAATAATGTACCCGAAAACTTACTGGAAGATTTAACAGCAAAGTCTACCATTTTTACAAAACAAACTGAAAAATAAATAATTTCAAATATTCTTTGTAATAAATATATTTAAATATGAATATAGTTTTTTAAATGAAAAAAAGGAAATAATTTTTAAAATCATAAACTGATCAGTTTATATCATATTTCAAATATTTTTATATGAATATATTTTGGTAAATGATTTAAAGAAATAATTTTAAAAACATAAACTGATCCATTAATATCATGTTTTTCAAAGATGTGTATATCTTATTACTATCTTAACCCAATTAAATATTTTAAAATGTGAGGCTGAATAAAAACATAAAATATTATTTCTTACTATGACAATTTTTTATTTGAGAAGTGACTTTTCTACGTGTCGTGTTCATGTTAACTCTTATAATGGTTGATTAAATTGATACCATTAATAAATTTAATTAAATTAATTATTATAATTCTCATTAACTGTTTTTTTTTCTACTAAAAATTATACCAAATTGCCACTAATAACAACTATTTTATTTCCTTTTTTATTAAAAAATCTTTTGTTAAATTTTAAATTTTAATTTTTCGTTTTTAAAAAATTACAAAAAGGAAATAGTTTTAAAATAGAAACATACATATTTTTCTATATATGTAAAGGCATTTTAATTTTAGTTTCACAAAACAACATAAACAAAACGAAATATCTACATACTTTAAATTTATATAGATATATATATATATATATAACATAACTTTACAAAACATATTGAAAAATATTAAGTTTAAATATTCTTCAAAAAACTATTTTTAAAATTTAATAAATTTTGGTAACTGATTAAAAGGGAAATACTTTTTAAAAACATAAACTGATCAGTTAATATCGTCTTTGAAAGATTTTTATTATGAATATATTTTGGAAAATTATTAAAAAGAAAATAATTTCTAAGAACATAAGTTGATCAATTAACATAATATCCTTCAATGATGTGTATATCTTATTACTATCTTAAA